AGGCGCTTTTGCCGCTGAGCTAAATCCCCAGCCCCCAGACTAGGTTTTAATTATGAAATCAAATGAGTCATTTTCAAACTACAGAGAGGTTACTGACCTTGGGAGTCCAAAACCATTCTAATGTCAAATTAATTCTAAAATTAATTTTCAGTATTAGTCTTTAAAGAGTTTTTTTCTACATCCCCTACCCACTTTGTAAATCAATGTGTATTTCTGTTTGTGTGATGTGTTTCATTTTGTTTGGAAGATGTGCACAGCAAGCTGAAAATGGAGGTGAAAATTTGACAAGACCATTTCCTTCATTATGCCTGCTACTGTGCCATCCCAACCTACCACAAAGCTATATCCTAACTGTCTACACACCAGGCCTGAGGTCTCCACCACCAGGGCAATTTATCATGGCCTAGACCACATTAGGGAGAAAAACCCAAAATATCGGCAACAGACAGCATCAATAAAGGACCCCTACTTAGCTACCTAACTGCAGAATGCTAAGACCTGGGGTCAGTTTGCCTTCAGTATTTCCAACCCAGATGGATGCTCATCTGGTTCCCAGCATGAACTTCTTGTCTGTGATCTTCAGATCATCTTTGTCCATCAGGAGATTAAAAGTGGGAAGACACAGGTAAATTGTTCACCACCAGAACTCCTTTTGTCAGAGGATATAAGAAAGTAGAATTAAATGCAAGTGGAAGGAGACTAGATTATTGCGCTTGCTAGCTCCTGTTTGGTTCCTGGTTGCACCTGTGACAGGTGGGCAGCTCCTAGGAGCATTTTTAATGACAGTCTCACTCATTGCTTGCAACCCCCAATGAGATCATTCTGGTCCCATTTTATAGAGAGTGACAGAAATGCAGAGAGGTTACATAACTAGTTATGTGAGTGGCATAGCCCATGTTTCACTGCCTGCCTGACACTGTGTCCTCTGTTACTGACCTCTTGCCCTCAGAAGAGCTAGAGAGAGACTGCAATCACACCATTCCTGGAAAGAACAGGAGACCTGCCCAGCACATGCCAGTAAATGGTCACTTCCTGCATCCTCCTAAAGAAGGAAGCAGGAAGGCAGTCATGGGAAGGTACTGGTGGCAAAGGCGCAGGTTTCTGTGACCACCTTCACAGAGGTTTGCTCTTCTTATTGAAGGAAACAACCCCTTACCAGCTAGCAGGGCTCAGGGGAAGTTTTAGCAAAGGAGGAAGAAGGAAAGGCAAGGTTCATCTTTGGCAGGTGACACCCTATTTCTAGGCCCTGCTCTGAAGCTCCAGCTTCCTGACTTTTCAGATAAAAATTTGATACTCCTGAGTAAATTCTCTCTTGGCTGTGTGCCAATGACCAAAGATGACAGACAACAGGAGTCTCAGTGTTAACCACTGTAATGGCTTAATGTATTTTTCAGGCAACAAAATATTCCCTGTGGCATGGTAGTTTCCATTTAATATAAGCAACATGTTCATCCAAAGGCAGCAAAAGTGACCCTGGTCCAAGTAATTTGTGGATGTTCAGGACCTCTGGTTGTTTACAGGAATGGAACCCCAGATCCCAAAGAGCATGTGGTCCTCTTGTTTACCAAATACTGGAACCATGGCTCTCAGATGCCCCTGTTAAAGATTAGACATTTCACTGACCAAGAGGCAGGGCAAAAGGACAATAATTTATCTGAGAAACCAAGGTAAGGTGAACACAGTGGCTCATGTCCATAATACAGCTACTCGGGAAGACCACAAGTTTGAAGCCAGCACAGGCAATTTAGAAAGATTCTGTCTTAAAAAATGAAAAGGGCTGATGACTTAGTTCAGCAGTAGGGTGGTAGAACACTTGCCTACTGAGTGTGAGGCCCTGTGTCCAATCTCCAATACTGAAAGGCAAAAAAGGCAGGGTAGAGATGGAGTGGTACACATTTTGGAAAGTTCAGGGGCATCTGGTGTTAATACAAGTCATTGTTCTTGTTTCTCTGTGACAGGATAGTGATGAAATTTATAATCTGGAGTAAAAAATTCAACAAACATTGATTGATTCAATGAATCTACTGTTTATATCCATTTTACCTACTGCATAAGACTCACTGCATAAATAAGGTGAATATTTAATTGAATGAACAACTGAAGATCTGTAGGTGTCTAATAAGATCATGACATAAATTACAGATTTCTATACACTAAATGTCAATGTGCTTGAGATGGGATGGGAGAGAAATATCCATTATATTCACCTTCCAACCTCCTTCAAATGCACATGCAAGGCTCAGATAATGAAATGGGGTTTGGGATAAAAGGGTTTGACAATACCTTCTCTACAGAGAAGGATTTTTAAGTAATGTTAAAATTAGATAACCGTTATTCTTTTAAACAGGTTATTACTATAGAGATAAGAAAATAAATTTAAATATTGGGTTCTTCATTGCCCCTTTGGTTCATCGTGCTGTGTTCTATGCTTGTGGGCATCAGAGCTGTGTGGGATCACTGCTGTTGTCAGAATCCACAAGGATCAGGCACAGTGGGATCCTCAGATGCCGAACTGGTGGTTCTTAGATTTGTCAGGTTGAAATCACTGAAGTTACAGTTTACTGATTGCTTCAGTTTAACACAGTTTACAGATTGGCTTCTGATCAAAATCTTTCTAAATAAAAGAAGGAAAATACATCTTGTCTAACAATACCTCCTTTCTGCTAACAGGAATTTGTATTTTGCTCAAAGATGATTTCACAGGAAGACATGTATTTTCCCCAAGGACATATACATCTTCCTGGAGCTTTTCCAGGCACAATTCACAATGGCAGACCACTCTGCTGTGTTTCTGGAAATGAGTCCTACACAACATCCATCCTGTACCTGTCTCGTTATGGTGAATGTCATAATAAACTACAAGGACTCAGTGTGGTTTGCAGTTGTTTCTCATTTTTGTTTAGCTGCTTGGGTTTCACCCTCAGTTGGCTCAAAGCAGCTGCTGCAGAGTCTCTCTGGGCTCTTTCTACTGGACTTTACCTGGCACTGGTGCAGGACACAGGGCTTGGCTGGGCTCTGCCACTCGAAGGAGCTGTTGTAGGTGTTTCCTTCATAGGTGCAACCTAGATGTGAAACAGTGAGAAGAGAGGCCAGTAATGAATGTGGATTCCTTTACCACTGGAGAAAAATAAGTTATGTCCTCAACGCCAAGACTAGTGATCACAAGATCCACTGCTACCATACACTTGGCTATTATTCCCAAAACACAACTGTCTCAGTTACTTTTCTCTCATTGCTAAGACAAAATACCTGACACACAAAGTTAAGAGAAGAAAGATTTATTTAGCTCACACTTTCTAGACGTTTCACTCCATAATCAGCTGGCTCCAAGGTAGGTTAGCTTTGCAGAGGACAGTTCATGGTGGGCAGAAGACAGAAAAATCAACAAAAGACTGTAACAGTATCTTTTTGCCCCTTTTATACTCTGTCTAGGCTGTTGGAATTAGGGTAGTGCTGAACTGATCAGTGAACTTATCATATACTCTTAATCCCAGCATCACACATTCTAGATTCAACCACCTCTGCAAAGACTGCATGAGGTTTTAGGGGACATCTAAACACAAACCACAACATTGTGCTCCTGGCTCCCCAAAGACTCATGCAAAAGGCATTTAGTCCTTCTCCAAGAGTTACCGAAATCCGAACATTTTCAACACTGCTGAGTCCAAGTCCAAGGCCTCCCTGAGGTTTAAGGCAAATTCTTAGCTATGAGCTCCGGACAAATGAAAAAAAAGGTTAAACACTTCCAACATTCAATGACATAAGATAAACATTTCTATCCCAAAAGTTACAAACAGGGGATATAAAAGAATGGGACCAAAGCATTCCCAAAATCCATGAGGGCAAACACTAAATCCTGCAGTTCCACTTCCAGCATCCTCAGCAATCTGTGGCAAGTTGTGAACACCAAAAGGTTTTGGTGGCTCTGCCCCTATGGCACTTCTAGTGATTGTACCACCCATGGCTTCTCTCTTGGCCCACTCCTTTGCAGTTTTCTTCAGACAATCCATGTTCCTGGTCTCCCCCAAATTCCGGATTCTCCAGTGCACCTTTAGCTTCACACTCACAGCTTCACATGCTGCCCTCTCCTGGCCTCTCAGGCCTTCTGAAATCTGAGTGGAAGTTTTCCTTACCCCACAACTCTTGTATTCTCCATGCACCTAAAACCAGTGCCATGTGGAGACCAGTGCCAAGGTCTGATGCCAGCTGGGGTAGAAACCAGGCTTCCCTCTGTCTTTACTGTAGGGACTGAGTGCCTGGATCACTGAGCACTCTGAATCCAATTCTGAGGAACAAATTCTCTAGGTCACTACCATTCCGAAGCATGGTGCTCTGGGACTCTCTTCTTGAAGTAAAGTCTTACCTTCGCAAATCTGAGGCTCCAAAGGGTGAAGTTCTTCTGTTTCTTGTGATCCCTCAGGCCATCTTCTGTTGTCTTCTGAAATACTTGGCTTTTCCTTGCCAGGCTTTTCAGTAACCAGTCTGTCCTCTGTTCTATCTTTGCAGGCCACAACTTTACTGGAGCTTCCTCTCTGGCCAAACTCACAATGTCTTGAATCAATCTGTTGGACTCTTTGCTCTTGATTATCAACGTAAGTCTAGCTAAAAGCCCCAAACAGTAGCCATACCACTGCCTCAATATTAGACTGCCTTGAAATTTCTTCTACAAGAAGAAATTAGTTAGTCTACCACCCTTAATCTCAGTCTCAGGCAAAGTCTCTGGACACGAGCAAAATGTAGGCAAACTTTCTGCCAAGGCATAACACACATCATCTGGAGTCCAGCAGCAAATGTAGTCCCTCCTAGCAGAAACCATGAGCCTGGTCTTTATCAGTTTTCTGGTCTTCTGGGCTCTGAGCAGAATCTCTGATACAGTGCAGCCTAAAGCATTCCAGCGCTACTTTTTCAGCTGGCATTCAAATCTTTCCAAACTCTTCCCACAGGCCATTTCCAAAGGCTCCTGAACTACATGGTCAGGTATAGTCACGGCAATGACCCTTCTCTGGTACCAGTTTTTGTCTTAGTTACTTCTCTCTTCTTGCTGAGACAAGAAGAGTTTAAGGGGAAAAGGTTTATTTAGCTTACAATTTCTAGAGGTTTCAATTTGTAATTGGCTGGCTCCAAGGCAGGGTAGCTTGGCAGAGTTCGTGGCAGGCAGACTGCAGCAAAGCAGTAAGGGAGAGAAGAGACAAGCCTCTTTCTGTCCCTTATATTGCATTAAATATATAGGAAAGCTACTCACAGAGTACACATAAAACCTCCGTTGGAAAAGATTACAGAAAAACTGTCACAGAGACCAACCAAAAATAACAAACAGACATTCTACATCTTAGGAAACAAAGATAAGAAAAAAAAATTCTTCCTAAACTTTGCCTGAGATAAATGCCGCTTGCTAAATTTACAAGAGCCTGTTGTTAAAATTTAATGTATTTACTTTTGACTTTCAATATAACTTGGTTATTTGTTTAGTTGATATGCTTAACATTTCTTATGCTTTGTAAATTCCCATACTACATTTACAGGGTTAACTTACTCTTTTTTCTGCTAGTACCAAGATAAGTTTTACTATTCATGGTTACTTGAAAGTCTTATTAGCAGCCAGTCAAATCTGCAATGCGATATTTTAAATTTCAAGTGGCAGCAACTAAGTTTTTTTTGAAAAACGTATGATAAGTATGATAGAGAGAAAAATATAAAGAAATGTTTTTAATGTGACAGAATTTTGGATGGTAAGGTTTTTTGACAGTGACAAAACTCAAAGGCTCAAGCACGTCAAACATGGATCCTCCATGTTTGTGGAGGATCCAGTATATAGAACAAAATATGTGTGCTTGTTAGTTTGGTTGAGCCCAAACTACTTCCTCTAAAAGCTCCTTATTGCTCAAGAAGATAGGGGCTATGGCATTGACTCTTCCTCATATGGGAACTCTCCTCTCTAATTTAACTAATGCTTTCAGAAAAAGGCTACAACTCTCATTTTTTTGATTAATATTAAACATGAGATTTTCTGCATGACTAGCAGAGATACCTAAATTGGTCAATGATGCAACCAAGACAAAGCTGCCTTTATCAGGCAGTTCTGACATGATTTGTAACATCCACTATTGCTGGCTTTATCATCTATTAAGCATATTCCCAGATCTACAGGTCTTTGAAGATACAAAGCTAAAAACCATTTAATATTTGTGACATCCAGGCTAAAGTTATTCCTGATGGTAAATTTTTCAACCCAAATATCTGGCTTTCTCTTACTTGTGTTCAGCTATTGGTGATAAAGTATACATGCCAATTCAACATAGAAGAGCCAACCAAAAGATATAAATACTTTTTAAATATTTAAACTTATAAATATGTGTATGATATATATTATATGCACACATACATATATATGTGCATTACAACATTTAACAATGCCCACACACTGTACAGTTAAAATAATGTTACATAAAATACATTATAGACAAATACATTCTTCTTAGATGATACTCTATTACAAAATAATAGATTTAGATGGAAATTTCTTCTTGATATTTGATATAATGATGTCATCATTATTGTTAGGCTAATATGTTATGTTTCCCTTGATCTCATTTTCTCTATAAAGATTTATACTTGCTTTCTAACATTCTACAGAGATTCAACTTCTAAGACAATCATGATTGATAACATGTAACAGTTCCCCCTAAACAACCCCTCAATATTGCCACTGATTTGGCCTATGTTGTGAGAACCCTACAGGTTATTGAAGCCACCCTTACTTATGACACTAGTGATAAAATTCTATACCACAGTTTTAGACAACTGCAAGAATTGATTAGATACCACAATTCACCTTTTTCTGTTACTCATATAAACTCACACTGTAACCTGTCTGGCCCCCAAGTAGAAGGCAAGACTAATGCTAATACTCTGGTTATGCTGTCTACCTCTTTAGAAGAGGTTCTTGCTTCAATCAATTTTTCACCAAGGTGCTAAAGCACTTATTCATTCTTTTAATCTTACACATAAACAGGTCCATGAAATTGATCACACTTGCCTGATTGCCAAAATAGATACAATCTGCTGCTTATATAGATATCAATCCCTGCGGTTTAGAAGTAATACAATTTGACAAATAGACTAGCTCATCATAACTCTTTTGATAAATATATCTTTATAGATGCCTATTCTGAAATGAATATACATATATATTATATCTTTCCAATCATATACACTTGTGAAACACATTAAAAGACATTTATTCTCATGTTTTTCTGTTATGGGACTGCCTTCACCAATTAAGACTGATAGTGGTCTTGCCTATATCTCCAATTCCCTTCAGACTTTCTCTCAACTCTGGCATGTTAAATGTATGTCAGTTGTACCTTGTAACCCTGCAGACCAAACAATATAAAACAAACCAGTGGACTCCTTAAAACCCAATTATTAAAACAAAAATAGAGAAGAATGGAGATGCTCCCTCCACAAAAACAAGTATCTAAAGCACTATTTTGCATTTTAAAGATTGTGATTCAGAAGGTTTCATCACAGTAGAGAAACATTTTACACCCATAAAACACAGGACAAAAACACTGGTCCTTTACTACTACCCATTGTCAGACCCACAGTGGCTGGGCCCAAGAGAATTGCTAACCTGGAGAATGGTATATGTATCTGTTTTGTCACCCACAGGCCCTCTTCAGGTTCCTGCAAAGGTTATACATCCATATCACATGGCAGCAAGTGAGACATTGCAAAACACAAGAATTCTCTTCACCTCTGAAACACCTGTTTCTTGCAATGATCATGCAAATTACTTATAACTTCAAAACTACAATAAAACCCTCCTTATCTTTCTGAGTTTGCTGATATATATACCTCAGGTAAGTGACATGATTTATTGGTCTCATGTTTCTACCTCATCTATCTTTAACCCAGTAACAAGAAGAGACCCAAAACCACCTTTTTCCTCTAATGATAACTTATGTACAGGCAGGGCTTAACCCTTTTCCTGACTTCATTAGGAGCTATGGGAGGGACTATATCCACTCTGGCTATTCCAATAGTTAATGCCTGTTACCCC